GAGGTTTACTAAACATTGTAGCATGACATCGAAACATATTGAATTTGGACACATCTCTCTGCTGTAGTAACTCAATCTACCGCTTTGTCGTTACGTATACATTGGTTAGCTTTCATCCTTCCAATCAAGATACCTAAAACCAGTGTTGAGGTCTGCCTGGTCTATCATATAAAAGAGCAGATGCATCTGTTGGTATATGGAATCATTTATAATTTCTGATCTCTACTAGGCTGTGTGTTTTAGTTGGTCTCGATTTTGCTTTCCTGTAATAAATTGATGTATGGAGGCCGTTATTATGAAAAAAATATCATCACATTATAAAATCTATTCCTGTAAAAAAAAACTAAGTTACTACTTGATGTTTTTCTGAGATCGTTACATTCTGAGTTTTTTTTTCCCAATTCTTAAAGCATTAGTTTTTGTTTATTAATCTTTGCTTTTGTTCTCTTAAATTGTTAAATTTGTGGCATATGGTATCATATGCTAGTACCATATGCTAGTGGCATGAGTAGATGTGTTCAAGGCAACAAATTAGAGTCTCTAATGCGCTTTTTTGATAGTGTTTTTAGCGCTGTACGTTGGCGATATGAAAATGGAATTGAGAGTCTAGCATGCGCCTTCTTTTTATCACCAGGCTTGTGCATTCAGATGTTTCAACATTATGATTATCTTTAACATTTTATTTTATCTATATACAGAAGATTTTTGTTTCTATACCTTAAGTTGGCACTCAGTATAATAGATGCTTTTGTAGAGTTGGATGGTTGGTTCTGTCAATGATCAACTTTTTATTTATCATTTCTTTACTGTCATGCTTGAATGTTGAAAATCCTATGAGCAATGCTATTGGGACATAATTTATGGACATAATTTGAGGACATAATGAGTTGTCACCAATGATATAATAATGAATTCATTAATGCTACAATGGGACCCATCATCAAATACATTTCACTATCATATCATTGGTGATAACTCATTATGTCCCCAAATTATGTTCTTCAATTATGTCCCAATAGCATTAGTGAAATCCTATTAGTACTCTTATATGCAATCTTGCGTGGTTCAAGAGGTAGTTGTTGCTTGCCAACTCTATATTCTGATTTTGTTTGTTATTGTTCACTTTTCACTGGAGGTTTACCAAACACTAATTTTGCAGCACTAATAGTAAAACAGTGGAGATTATATTGAGATTTGTAGGTCTCACGAGTCTGTGTTTTCATGCAAATACTGCAATGTCCGTTAAGTGGCTAAATTACAAAAAATGGTTGAGGGGCTTGTGGTACATAAAAGATGCAAAAAAAAAAAAAAAGACTATATTACCAACAGGTCATTTCATAAGATTTCCAAGGAGGAGTGGTATTTAGAGATCAGCTTTTAATTTAGTAATGATTTCATGTTAGGCTCCCTATCTTGGAGCCCCTCCACTCCCAAAAGAAAGAGTCGCCATCAAGTAGTCCTTTGAGTTAGGTTTGTTTCTTTTGCTTGACTACCAAAAAGTAACCCAAAAAAGTTTGGGGGTGTTTATTTAATCACCTGTTAGGCTAAGGTGCAAACAATACACTAACTATCAATACAAAGTTTAATTCCCAAGGCTGCACTCGGCTAATCTTTCAACAAGTCATGCTGATTTGAGTCTGCTTCAAGTTCTATTTGACATTCTGTAGTCTATACAATACATAAGCAAGGTTCTTAGGATATTCTTTATGTTTTCTTTGAATGTGGTGCTTCAAGAGAAAGCCAAAAGAAGAGGAAAAGAGTGCTACTATGATGTCTTTTCTGTGGGAGTGGCACCATGGTCACTTGGATTGGTTCTAAAGATATTCATGGGGATATATAATTCTTTCCCAGGAAAATGATTTGGCGATGACCAATAATGGGATTTTGTAAAAGAAAAGAAGAGGAAGAAGAGAGTGTTGGAGCTTGAACAATGAAGCAAGGGATGGTTGGAATTCATACATAAATCTGAATGCATTGAGAGAGTCTAAACTGAGGAAGTCCGCCAGACTAAACTTATTGTCAACAGGTTAGTTTGACCTAATCACCCACTTGTTGAGTGGCAAGGTTAGACTTGTCCATCACTTCATCTATGTACTAATTTTCAACAGATGATAATGCCTGTAAGATTTGATCTCTGTTTGTGATCAAATATTCTGCTTATATGTGGATATTTTGAGGTATATTTAGAGATTGCAAATTCCATTAATGCATAGAGATACATGCAAGCTGCTATAACAATGCTCAAGTCCCCTGGTTATGAAATATTTCTACTATCTGGGATCTCTACGAGGCTAGGAATTTCAGTTTTTGGCCTAAATTCACTCTTAATGCACTTCGCTATAGGTACATGATTTTTGTTTTTTATTTTTGGTTTATTTTTGTAGTCTTACAAATATCAGAGGCAGTGAAGACAAAAATATACCATCAAACTATGAAAGCTATTGAGCTTGTTGATGTTTCCAAAAATCATTACTCTCTGAGCCTCTGTTCCCTGTCAAGCATTTTCTTTTGAGTTTCTTGTATTTGGTACGTTTGCTTTTATTTCTGCTATTAAAATCTTGGTTTGTGGTAATCTTGTGCTGGTTTAAGTAAACTAGGGGCCTTACACTTGTATGGAGAAAAAAGAAAAGAGAAAGATATGAAAGTAGGAAGAAATTAGAACAGATAGATTTAAACTGTTATGGACATTAGGGGAGGTTAAAGGCAGTTGAGTCGAGTTGAAAAAATATTTAAGTGTAATTAAGGTGAAACAAATGAAGGGTAGGCAATTCATGGGTGGACACCAAACTCATCCTCTCCCTTTATTAATAGTATTGATAATGCTTTCGCAGACCAAATTAGAGTCTTTGATATGTTTTTTTTGGTAGCTTTGTCACCGATGGATGTTGCCAACAAAAAATGGCTCTGAGATTCTGGCATGTATTTTTTGTTTTTCACCAGACTATGCATGCATTCAATGTTCACATTACTAGTTTTAGCATTCTATGGCGACTCTCTACAAAGTTCCCCTGCCTTCACCCTGGAAGGCTTTCACTAGACCAAAGACATTGAAAATGCCTGCGGCAAGAATTCACAGATTCGTTTTTTTACCGGCAGTAGTTCATACCTTTGGTATTTATGCTGTCTAATTGTGCAGATTGGACTCATTGATTCAATAACATTTAGGATGACCTCAAAGGAAGATTGGGCTTAGGTTAGTAGACTATAAAATTTGAAGAGTAGAAAATATGGATCACATTTTGATCCGCGGATTAGTTTGATAAGTTTTTTGAATTCTGCTTTAACCCCATCATCTGGTGGTTGTTCTATGTGCATTTAATAGCAGAGTAGGATTGTGAAGAGGTTTCCTTTTATTTTGTTTTCATAGGGCTCTTCCTCCTGTCACTGCATTGTTTTCATTACTTACCATGATGCACTCTCCATTTTCTGAGGATTTCGAGAGACTGCGAGTCGTCTAGGTGCTCTTTGTAATTAGTGTAGAAACCAAAACACCAAGGCTGGTCTCTTATCTAGGTGTTCTTAATTAGTTTGTATTTGCAGTTTTTGATGCTAGATTTTTGCCAATAATCCTGAGCATATGCTAGTCTGCGTTCAAAAACCATGCTGTGGTACTTGAAGCACATGTATCATTTGTTCGTTATCGCTTCACTTTTGGAGATTTTGATTCCATGTTTTTATGAGAAAGGATTGCGAACTGCAAAGATAGTTCTAAGGGATAATGGGGACGTGCCGTGAATTCGGGCGTTCTGAGTTTGAAATTTAATAATTTTTTGGGATTAATTCCTTGTGAATACTCTAGTCCTAGTATGGATGATTTGTATTTGATTGGACTAAGGAGGATATTAGATGTGCGTAAGTTGGTTCGGACATCCCTGATTATTGAATTAAAAAATAAAAATGAGAAAGGATTGCGACTTTCTTTGATAAAATATTCATTATAACAGTTAAATCATATAATTTTGTTGATACAATGTAACTATTCAATGATAGGATAATAAGGTAGCAAGTAGATACTACATTAGTAATTATTACATGACATCGATAGATAATTATTTAATTATATGAGATATATTTGCTCATTTGTTATCTTATTGTTAGATGGTTATATTATATCAACGTGATAACATGATATAATCCTTGCAATGAATGATCGTTGCTCATTTTAGTTGTGTATATACAATAGTTGATAGAGAGAAATAGCCATTCCCCTGAAGCATCCCGTCCGACCAAACATTCTCAACTTTTCACGATTATCTTATCCATTCCAATGCCAAAAAGGGTAAGGTATATCTCTTCAACAATTATGTATTTTTCACAATGTATCATTAATCATATAGTTCATGCAATTAGTTTTACATTGTCACTATTATTAATGTATGTTTGTTTTATATTTTAATTTAATGAAAAATTGTTTCATTTTGTTTCATTTTAAAAATTGTCGATGATTTTTGTCTATAAAAAGATTAACAGATGTTTAACAATTTATGCAACAAAATAAAATAAAATCAAATGCATTGTTTAGGAGATCAAAGTTTAAATTATCCACTGTAATAACTTATTTTGACTTCCAAAATTATTTTTTTTATTTTTTTTATTATCAATAATGTATCTTCGAAGTAGATTTGTTCCAAAAATGATCAGAATGGTTGGGGAGTTTATTTTCAAATAACATGATAAGAACATGATTTGAAAGAGGGAATAACAAAGTTTGAGCCCGCAACTTTTAATTCTAGCAAAAAGTCGGTGATCATTAGTCTAGTTAGTTGCTAACCTCTCGATACCAACATTGTATTCAATTTCTCAAAAATACAATGATTTATTAAAATAGCCACATGGAAAAAGAAAATTCATTAGTATAGAACTTAACATATTAACAAAAAGGAAAGAACAAAAAAACAGGAAAAATGACAAGTCCTTATTCTGATTATTTTAGCAGGCAGGTACAACATAGAGTGGACCGTTAGATCAACGGCCCAAGAAGCTCCATCAAGATCAACCGTTCAAGAAGCCTGAGAAAGCTTAGAAGCTTCAAGATCTGCGGCCTTCTTAAGAAAACTCTGATCATCGTCTTCAAGAGCCATCTGAATCGGCGACGAGCCCAACCCATCGGCGATCGCAAGCAAAATCTTGCTCATCTCGTTCCTGAACTCCTCGACATCGACGGTCCCGCTCTTATCGCAGTCGAACTTCTCGAAAATCGAGTCGTAGAGCCGAGTCAGCTCCTCTGGCGGCGTCGCAACGTCGACGCCGAAGTGTGTCTCGATCAGACGGAGAGTCTCGAAGCCCTTTCGCAGCTCCGATCTGGACAAAACGCCGTCGTTGTTCAGGTCTAGCTTGGCGAAAGACTCGTCCACGCTCTTCTTGAACTTTGACTCGTCGTTGACGAAGTCTCGGACTGTTGAACCATCAAGTATAACCACTCCCATATCTCTCTCTCTCTGTCTCTTCAGTGTGATGATTCTGTGAAGTGAAGATCTATGGCGACTTTTATGATAGGGTTGATATTGAAGAGAGATGCAAACGGTGTATTTGATACTTGATGGGCTGAGGAGGATACTTTTATTTCGGACCATCCATTTCTAGTACGGTGGGTGCGGACCGGGTGATTATGGACACAGCACGTTGTTTTTGTGATGCATCATTTGTGTTGTGTCGAGCGGTATGTATTGTCGGATTTGACATCTCTTCTAAAATATATTTTTAATTAAATTATTTATTATTAATAAGTAAAAAATTTATTTATATAAAAAGAGTTTCACATAAGCGATTCAATTTTTTTTTTTTAAATATATTATAATTTATAAGAAATTTCACTTTGTATTGTTGAAAGTATATCAAGACACGTGGCATAGTTTTTCTGATGACTCATACAAAGGTCGATGATCAGATTCTATTAATCCTACACCTCACCATATGAAACAATTTCTAGAGAAAGAGGGCTATAAAGAAAAAAAATGCAATAAACCTTCTAAACCCTTTACTTATTTGACGGGTTATATGGTCGTATTAGATAACTAACTAAATAAATGGGTCATATTTGATTTTTGTAATTTTCACTTATTGATAAATGGTTCAAGTGCAGGTTGAGTGATTTTGGACACGAATTTGTTTAACTTAACACGATTGTCACTGCTACATATGTTCAAGAGTAAAATTATAGTTGATTTATATTTTGTCTTAATTATATTTAATTAAATTCATGTTGATTTATTTGTTAAACTAATTTAGATGGTTAATCTAGTAATAGCTTGAACTCGTACAATAATTTTGAATTCATGTTGATTTTTTGGTACCATACCCTACTTCGTGAAAGAGAAGCAAAAGCCCTACACAAAGGAAATTGAACAAAGATAAAAAAAAAAAAAATGAAACTTTGGATTCTCTTTAGAGACTATTTGGTGGTGCATCTCCTCCAATATTCTCACCTCAAAACCTGCATTCAGTACCCTCACGAGAGGGAGAGAGAGAGAGAGAGAGAGAGTAAAAAGCTTAGAGTTGACTCGGTATAAAAAGCTTAGAATTGACTCAGCAGGTAATTACCATATGCCTGAACGTGACTGTAACAACTTTTATCACCAGAAAAACCCTCCATAGGGGAGGGGAGGGGAGGGGGATAGCCGGAAAAATCCGTAGACTTTTACCTAAAAGGTCGATTGTTAGGGTTGATAATTCAATTCTAGCTTAGCTTGTATCGAATTTAAACAAATTTTTAGAATCATTTAAAAACGAACTTAAAAAACTTAACTCGAACTTGTAAAATTTGACTTGTTTATACGTAAAATAGTCGAACTACTCATATTCAATTCGGGTTCAGTTTGTTTTAGGCTTAGCTCATTTTTTAAAATAAACTGAACTTGAACAATGTTTTAAGTTTATTTAAAAAAATAAGTTCGACAGACTCAATTCGAACTCTCAAAAATTTAACTCAATTATCGATGTTAACGACTGTTGACATGAAAACAAATCAAATTCTTGATTAACAATTAGGCACAAGAGTTGGAAATCTAATTACACTTGATTTTATAGGACCCGCCAAAATCTGAAAGCATTACCATGGCTTCCTTAGCAACAAGCTGTAAAAACATTCAAGTATATATACCACACCAGTTCCCATGTGAAAGGAAAAATACACAAAACAAGTTCATACAACGATTACATGGTGTAGCACAAAGTTTCTAACCAGAGTCGGATGCCTGATCTACATCAAAAGATTCATCTCATATCTATGAGGAAGGAGTCAACTGTTTTCATGGCTAGTGAAGAAAGGGATCCAAAAAAGTATGAGATCAAGCCTATGACAACTCGTTCCAGAGTATAAAGCAATAGTTAACGCAACCATCAGTCTTAGCCTAAATCCACCCACCGCCTAAGATCAGCCTTCATAATTACTTAAAGCATCAGCCTTCATAATTACTTAAAGCATCGCTACGTGAAGTTGAAAAATAGACCGAATAATTATAATCATTGATTCTCAATATTTATTAGTACTCACTATCTATTCGATGATTGAAATTATTGAATTTAATTTTTAAATTTATCTAACATTAGTCAATTACTTATATAAAAAAGTGATTTAAAATCAAACTTTTACATAAATAATTTTCGACGCTATACAGATGGAACGAAGTCCAAAAAGTACTATAATTTAGTAACTGATTCGTCCATCACCGGTCAGTCGTTGTCGTCGTCATTGGCATCATCTGCTCAGTAGAGGATACCAACGGTCTCTGAAGTTAGACTGGTAAGAGATCACGAAGAACAGAAACACAAGAAGCAACGCAACACCCCAAGGTGTCCCACCAGCCCCGCTAAGAGAGTCCTGCTGGCGCCAAGGTATGAAGAACAAAGACCTCTGAAATCTCGAAATCAAGTAAAGAGCTAGAAGCAGCAACAATGGTGACAAGATGAGGACTAGTCTAATTTGATCAAAGAGTCCTCCGAACAGTGACTCACAGTTCATGTACCATGGCAAGCCGACAAACATGAAGAGTATTAGGAGGAAGAAGCACAAGTGCAGTGGCAATTGAGGTTGAGAATTATATGAAGTGTCCATGCACCATGAGAAGCCCACAAACAAGAAGAAGAGTATTATGAGGAAGAAGCACAAGTGCAGTGGCAATTGAGGTTGAAAATTAGATGAAGTGGAAGACATTTCTGCAAATTTGAGTGCTTTAGGAGATGGGTTCAGAAGACAATTGATTGAAACTGGATAAGTATTGGCAGAGGGTTCTTAGGGGGAGTAGATTGCTTGGTTAGAGAAGTCAATAGACTGGTAAAGTGGTTCATATAGTAGATGTCTTGGGTTTAGTTTTGCAAGTGGGACAACTTCACTGGCTTTCTTCTGGTGTCAGAAGCGCGTAATAACCCAAAAGTAACTCAGGTCATTACCGACGTGAATTCTAAATTTAGATTTTTATGTTGAATTCGAATTTTGATAATCTTATATAATGAGATATTTATCATTTGTGTTTAATATTTTAAAATTAGTATTGATAATTTTTTTTGATCGAACTAGTGTTGAGCCTTTATTTATTATTCAATTGAATAATTAATTTATTTTGAATAACTATGACTTTTAAGAAAGGTTATTATTTGAAAAATTATGACCATTAGTAAAAAAACATTATTAAAGAGGTGTGACCATTGAAAAAAAAATATTTCTTTAGAACAATCATGATTTCAAGAAAACACACCTCTTTAAATGGTCATAACTATTAACCAAAAGACATCATTTTATAAAGTCATGTTTTTTAATAAAAAGACGCCTATTCCAAATGTTGTGACTTTTGGTAAAAGGCGTTGAGGAATCTATAAATAGAGTCCTAGACTTTATTTACATTGACACCAAGTCTTGTATAACTCAACTCTCTTCCCCCTCTCTCTCAAGAATAAAAATTGTTCAAGAATTTTTTTTTGGAAGTTTTGTAATATTGCTAATTGTATTTCTTCATCTAAAAATTTTGTTGGATAGTGAGAGTGATCATAACCCTCTAGAAAAACTCTAGCGGGGGCAAATATCATTTTAAAGAAAGTTATCTTACGTGCTTCAAAGCTTTGATTCTGTTATATTTTATATCTACTCGAAGTAATTTCTCAACAGGGAAGAGAGTAGTTGAAGTGCACATAAACTGGTTTGAATACTCCTAACCGTTAAACCAAAAAAAAAGAAAAAGAAAAGAGAACCACCTAATAATCGTAATTCCATTCATGCGATGCACAAAATGTAAAATTCATTACCTTTTATTTATTTTTAGTTTATTTTCTCATTCTTTTAATTATTTCCATCCTATCACATGATGAGTTACTGAAATCTATTGGGTAGAAAAAATAATTTTTAGGTCAAATTAAATAAATGGCGAGTACTTGGTGGGGAGGAGATGGGCAATTATAAGGGATACATGATAGAATATTATTGAAAAAAAAAACCATTGATTCTTAATTTATTAATTCAAAATTAGAAAACAAGGATAAAAGCCCTCATAAGGGCCTCTCTCCAACCACCCAATTTATTTGCTATAACAATATAAATAAATGGCATTCCATATAGTTTTGAGATGCATTTGTGGTTACTTATATACATAATTTATAAGTGTTTTAATCGAGTTCATCCTTTTGATCTATGGTAAACTCATGCCCAGCTCGAGTTGAATATTGCGTAATTGAAAACGATTATTGAGATTAAATTATTATCAATCAAGTTTGAGCATATTGAGCCACGCAACATATTGCTCAAACTCGATTTGAATATTAAAGGAACGTAAAATTTTGGTTTTGTTATGTTCATTTTTCATACAAATGAGTTTAATGAATCAAAATTGAATCGAACATGAGCCAAACAAAAACCGAAAAGTTTGTTCAATTGCTCTAAGCGCATGCCGGCCCAATAGTATGGAAAAAAAAAACATGGGTTTTAGGCCCATAATTTTAGGTACATCACTAACCTATAAAAAAATTAAATTCATTAAATTTTAAACCCTACAAAAAAACCCAAAAAAATTAAATTCAATCAAAATTTTTATTGTAATAATTTAGGCCTATAATCTAATTCATAACATTAAAAACTTATAAATTTAAAAAAATAAAAAAATATTCAAAAGTGAACTCATTTTTACTCTTGCCCATTCTCTCTCTCTTCTGATAAAAAAAAGTAAAAAAAAAAAATTAAAGTTGAAATTAAATACATTCTCTCCCTCCCTGTGACAAAAAATAAAAATAAAAGTTGAAATATCTTTCTCGACAATATTAACATATATTTTTTTTGTCTACCTCTTACATAAAAAATAAAAAATTAATTAATTTTTTTAAAAAAATAATACTAAAAATAAAAAAATACCTTAATTTAATATTTTCACTTGAGCAATGTTATTGGGACTTAATTTACTGATCTAATTTGTTGACTTAATGCACTATGACCTTTAGATTAACTGTGAACTCCATCAAACATTAGAACTTGGTATTAATCTAATAGTTTCAATAAAATCATGTCATTAGGTCAATAAATTATGTCAAATTTTTAAATGTAAATAACATTTTTTTTTTACATTAGAAACTTGAGCCGCCGCCGCCTAAGCGCGTGGTTGAAATGCCTTGTGTGGTTAGCTGTGTAAGGGATGCGGAGGTTCTCTTTTTAGTTGCGAATCTTGCGGTTTGGAGGATACTTCCTTTTGGATGATCCAAAAAGACTCATCCAGTGGCCGGTGACTATTCTTTATTATATGTGGTTTTGATTCATATAAAAATATAACAACTGAGGAGCTGACACGTGTGGCCGACATGACAAAATCTTGAGTTGACCCCTTTTATATTCTCGGTGTGACTGAGTATGATCTAAGGAAAGCTAGACTTATCTAGAAGGGCAACATTATTTAGAGCTTAGAGGTAGTGTACATGTAACTTTAGTTAATGTTTTTATATATATATGTTTTTTAATGGTCAGAATTATTCGAATCAATTTACACGTAACTCAATTAATTTTTTTTTAATTTGATTAAAAGTAAGTCATCTACGCATGAAGTAAAATATTCATGAGAGGTAATTTTTTTATGATTTAACTCTATAAAGTTGTTAAGATTCGAATTTAAAACGACTGGAGTGACAATTCGTCCATATTATCACTTAACTATTCTTGAGGTTTATAGAAAACTCTATTATTTATACTCGATGTCACTTAAAAAATTGTATGATGTGTATTCTTTTTGTTACGACCCGATTGTTCGTTATAGGGTATCTTGATAAGAATCTCTAATGCAATGACTTAAATATGTCATCATATGTTGGCGCTGTGTGCGGTGATTTTTGCACAATAGATGAAATGAAAACAGATCTCTCCCTTAATAAACTCGTGTTTGTCGAGAAGGTGGTGGATCCCGCAAGAAAAAATAGGTTGAAAAGGCTAAAGGGAGCCTAAGGAGTGATGATGAATTGCTTCAGGGGCTGTCCGATCAATTCCGTCCGGTTGTTGGCTATTCCTAGCACACAAAAAATCAGTTAGAAGGGCGTCAAAGTGTTTTTCGGCGTATCCCCTCCGACGATCAAGTCGATCCTTTGAAAGATGGGAGAAAAAAACACCATATGGTTCTTGAGAGGTGATTTTGTGTACCTTTGTAATATATTTTTAAGGACTATTTATACCTTCAAAGACTCATCATTATTGATGGCCTAGACAATAGGTAGCATCCAGAAATGAGACAGTGTGCCTCTTATTTTGCATGGGGATCCCCCAATATTAATTGTTCGGGATGCCGAGTACTTAATACTTTTTCTTTAATGTAGGGACATTAGATGCTCAGGCCCTGGATCATTTAATGCTACTCCTCATTGGCTCTCAAAGCCACTTTGGATGTCCCATCATGTGAGGATTCATTAAATATTTGTCTGAAACAATCATATATTAGCAGGGGTACTTTTGTCTTTTTATCCACAACTCTACACTCTATGCCACGTGCCTAACTCCCCTTGGCAGAGTGTCTGGCTCATCCTTCCATCCTGGCCTCATCATGTAGAGCACCCTCATGATTCCTAGCCTATTTTGAGACTGGTCAGCTGTCAATCAGTAGCCTTTCCAGACGCAGGAGACATGTGGCAAGACCAGAGCTTCAGTAAGTATTTTTGGAGCAGAGGACACGTGTCAGCCTCGGGGTGGAGATACCTTCAGAGTTGAGGGATACGTGATTTCCAAGAGGAAGGGAGGTGCCTTAGCGCCGAGGAACATGTCATTGTCAGAGCAGGGGTCTCGGTGCCGAGGACATGCGTCGTTGATCTAACCCTTTTCCAGAAGTGTCCTATTAACTGCCCCCTAGTCCTTTGATCTTCGTACGGAAAGGATACGTGTCGTCGGAAGGTGAAAGGGCTCAACTGCCTCATCATTCCCTCAGCCTTTTTCCGCCTTTTGGAGATCGTCCACATTGAATGCACCTATCTTCATACATCAAGTACAATAATGGATACAGAGGGCCTATATAAACAAAGCCCCTTCCCCCATCTTCATTCTTCGAACCCTTGAGCTTTTCTTTAGAGATTTCGTCGGAGAAACCATCGGATTGTTGCTGCTTTGAAGAAAAAAAGCCTTTTTTTGGCCATCACCTGAAGGAGAAAAAGTCTTCACTGTCTTCTTCTTTGTTTGTCGACAGAGAAAAACTCTCCCAAGCCTTTAGCTCATCTTCCTGATCTTCTGGTGAGTCTTCGTCCATTTTGCTTCCCTGTTCTTTGTCTTTTTTGCATTTTTGGCGGTCTTTCATCTTCTAGATCCCCTTTTTTTTTTGTTTTTTTTTGGCGACTGGTCGCCTTCCAAGCCTCCACCGTCTTCCTTCGTCATTTGAAACCTCTTAGGATTCCCACTTCTTAGAGAAACCCTTTACTCTCTTGTAAAAAATGTCAAAACGTCGCCCTGCCATCGAGGTCTAAGAGGTGGGGACCTCTAGGCCGAGGAAGTACTCTGTCCAGGGCGCCCAACAGATTGCCAACTTTCGTGCCCTCTATGATATCCCACGTAGCGTCGACATAGATGATTTTGACCATTAATGTCATCGTGCCAATGTCGGTGCAAAGGACGCCATGCCCTTTTACACTAAAGCGATCATAGAGGGTGGGATCAGATTCTCCCTACACCCACTTCTCCTCCAATTTCTGTCTAGGTTTTGCCTCTTCCTCGGGCAATGCTGTTTGAACACCTTTAGGATCATCATGGGGGTCGTCGAGCTTAATAGTTACCTTGGGGTCAACCTTAGCCTCGAGGACATTCTCTTTTGTTACACCTTGCTGAGGCTAACGCTCCAACAAAACTTCTATCTTAAGGCCAAGGATACTTCAATGTACCTCGTGACACATCTCCCTGACTTGGACAAAGGGTACAAGGACGACTTACTA